GTTTTCTTTGTTTAGATGTGTACAGGGAGGAACTACTGCAATCCCTGGGGCTTTTGGCTGTGGAAAGACAGTGATATCGCAGTCTCTCTCTAAGTATTCCAACAGTGATGTGATCATCTACGTAGGATGTGGTGAGAGAGGAAATGAGATGTCGGAAGTCCTCCGGGACTTTCCAGAGGTCCGTATAGATAAAGCTTCCAATGCTGTTCTAGAGAAAATACCACTAATCAACTTTCATTGGCAATTAATAAAGCTTTGTGTTAGATTTGGAGCAATGCTTTCATTTGCCAAGGATCTTTTAAGGCATTTTCTAATTATATTTGTGATTCAATTTCTATATTCAAGGAAAGGAATTTGAATTTTTCAAACACTTGTAAGTTTCTTTTTGTGGACTGGTGGTTTTCAGTTATTGGGAGAAATATAAAATAGACAAAAAATTTATAGATGTGAACTTTACATAGGCTTTACATGATCCACTAGGTTATTATAGTAATATTCCTTTTTCCATAAAATAATGGAATTCACTTGTGAAATGGAAATAATGTCTGCCTCCTTTGCAGCACATTGGGGCAGGGAGAAGAGATTGGAGTGATGGGGAATGTTACTTTGGGAACACTGATTATAAGAGGGATTAAATATAGACAAGTTGTAAAAAAGGGACTAAAATGTTGTATTTAGAAATTAGAGGATCGCTAATAGATTGTTTGCCTCCAGCTCACGATGGAAGTTGATGGTAAGGTGGAGTCAATTATGAAGAGAACAGCTTTGGTTGCCAATACCTCCAATATGCCTGTTGCTGCTAGAGAAGCCTCTATTTATACTGGTGAGTGTATGAATTGAAATAAAAGCAATGAACATCTCTTCTCAAGTTTAAAGCTAGCACCAAACCTTTTCTTTTCCAAAGAACGTCTCTTTCATTCTAAAATACCTCTTGACATACAACCATATTCCTAGCTTTTAAAAAATAGTTTACGTACTACATCTTGAGAATATGTCAATAGAAGATGTTTTACAGAGCTGCCCCAATCTTTTTAATGACCATAAAATAATGTATCTTCTACTACTGGTTTGTGGATTTTTTTCATTATATGTTTTACCATTGATCTAACTCTGAATATACCTGTATAACTTGAATTATCAGCTTTGAATTATCATATTTTGACTGCTGGATATAAAAGATAAGAAAATCAGTATGTTTATGTATTACCTTTCATCTTTGCTCCCACTTCTACCCCAGCTTTTGGTGGTTTTATTTCTGCATTTTCAGGATTTATAATATTCACATTCTGTTCTGTAACCATATATCCAATCTTCGTGTTAGCCTTTGACCTATAGTAAAATGGAGTGAGTTCCCACTGGCAGTCCTTTGGCTAAATTTCTCCATTTGTTTCATGATTGGCTAAAATTTCACTTTTGGGAGTTTCTTCAAGAAAGGCTCATGGAAACTATATTCCCTGAATTCTTGTTTCTTCATAAGTTTGGTTTTTTTCCTACTGCCTTTAAATTTTAACAGTAGTTTTGCTGAGTATAAAATTTTTGAATCAATGTTTCTTTCCTTGAAAACTCTTATTCTAGCATTAAATGCTGAGGAGAGATCTCAGGCTGGCCTACTTTTTTTCCTTTCATAGATGATTTTTCTTTTTGCCCAGAGGAATTTCTCTTTAAATTTAAAGTTTCATGATTTTATTAGGATATATCCCCTTACTGATAGTTTTGATAAATTTTTCCTGAGACATAGTGTACCCTTTCTTTTTTTGTTGTTTTTGTTTTGTTTTTCTTTTTTTGAGGAAGATTGGCCCTGAGCTAACATCTGTTGCCAATTTTTTTTCTCCCCAAAGCCCCAGTAGATAGTTGTATGTCGTAGTTGTACATCCTTCTGGTTGCTCTGTATGGGCTGCCGTCTCAGCATGGCTTGATGAGCAGTATGTAGGTCTGCGCCCAGGATCCAAACTGGTGAACCTTGGGCTGCCGAAGCGGAGTGTGCGAACTTAACCGCTACGCCACTGGGCTGGCCCCTACCCTTTCAATCTGAATATGTCTTTTATTTGGGAACATTTTCAAGAATTGTTTCTGAAACTTTCTCTTCCATTGTGGTTATCTTCTTCAAACTAGACGCATTGGGTCCCCTCCATCTGTTTTTGTGTATATCATTTTCTCTCTAATCATTTTTATTTAGCCTTTTATCTATTTAGTCACAGGATAATCAGTGTTTATTCTTTGTGTTGCTTCTAATGAAAGCTTTGTTTCTGTAATGGTTTTATGTTTTCTTTCAGCTCTTTGTTGGGTTCTGCTGGCTGATGAAACATCTTTTCTGACGTTACTGTATATTTCTGGAGATTTTATTCTGTGGTAGGATGCGTCATTAACATTTTCTTTCATTAATTAATTGTGGTCAGATTTTCATCTGTTCCTTGGCAGGTTCTTTGACCATCATTGTATTCTGCTCTTCTGTCTTTTTTCTTCTTGGATTTTTGTTTAGTTCCTATACTGATGTTTATTATTACTATTACTCGTCTCTGCAGGAGATGGGAAGGGTGGCAGGAGTATTTCATGGTAACCTGTGAAGTTTCTTATGGCATGGAGTTGTGTGATTAAGTTATATTTTACTCTTTTCTCTCTCCTGCCAACAGAAATCCGAAGCTGCAAGGCCCCTTACAATGAGCTCTTTCTCTTCTGCTCAGCCTCACCCACTTTTTACTTACTGAAAGGAAGGAGTGCTTGCATATGTTTTGTTTGACTTCGTCTCTCTGCTTCTCCTTGCTGCCAGACTGGGTCCAGGGAACTCCTGCTGCTACCCTGTACCCTTTTTGCAGTGTTCCAAACAAAGGATTCTTAGTTTTGCCCCTTAGGATGTGCCTCCTACTTTGTAGAAGCTTAATCTGAGATGTGCAGCCTCAGGTGAATTCTTGGTGTCTTCCGACACCCTTGTTTGGTTGTTACCTCATTTAAGTGGCTTTCCTCATTATTTTGTTGTGGAGCTAAACATGTCGCCTAGTTTTTGACAATAGAGTTTGTGTTTCTGTATGTCTTATTTTCCTTGTTCGATGATACCTTTTATGAGAAGAAGGAGAAAGTGACATATTCATCTACTACTTTAAGACAGGAAGTCTATCTACTTTTAAAAGGCTGCACAGTATCCCTTTGTATGAATATATCTTAATCTATTTAACCATCATCCTTTTGCTAGACACTTGGATTATTGATAGTTTTTTTGCTATCACAAACTTTGCGTCACTAAAACATCTTTATGCATGTTTTTTACACTGTTTCTTTGCGTGTTTTGTGTGCACATTTCTTTGTACATTTTGGGAGGTAAATTCTTAGAAGTAAATTGCTAAGAGTACAACTGTTAATGCAGATTTTAGATTCTGATAGCCCTTCAAAAAGGATAACAGTGGACAAGAGTTCTGTTTCTTCACATCTTCACCAAAGCTAGGCTTTTTAACACTTTCTTATGATAATTATCGAATGTATAGAAAAGTTGAAAGAATTTTCAGTGAACTTCTACTCAGCACCTAGAGCTGACAATTAACGTTTTACTATCTGTGCGTTATTAGATAGCTATTCAGTCTGTATTTCTTCACTGTGAGCTAGCATCTTTCCTATGTGTATTAACCATTTGAAAACTGCCTTCTGTCCATTTTCCTTTTGGATAGTAGTTGTTTTACATACTGATTTGTAAAAGCTCTTTAAATTAGTCTTTTGTCTGTCATGAGTTGAAAATGTTTTCCCAGTTTATTCATCTTTTGATTTTGTCTGAGGTTTTTTTTTTTTCTTGTGGGCACTGATATCTTTAGGTCTATATCTTTAGATCCTTGAAACTTTTTTGAGTTTTACTCATGTGTATCTGTCTCTTCTACCAAGTCTTTATAATATATACATACAAGCATTAGTGCATGTCCTCACAGAGACTTAAAACATAGCCCTGTTTGTATAAGAAAGGATCTGATCCTATCATCAGACTGAAATATGTGATAATTATTGTGTTGTTTTAAGCCTTAATAATGATAAGTAACATTTCGTAAAGACCTTGTTCATAGAACCGTTTTTTGGAAGCCTCAGAAATCAGTATTTCTTATTCTAAAAGATGTAATATGATAAGTAGTAAAGTGCTGAATTTTCAAGCACTATTTTGTTTTACTTATATAAGCCTCTGTTTCTTTACTAGTATAATAAAGGAATCAGGACATTAGATTTTGGGACTCGTTAATGTAGCAAGAACTATACATTTCTAATATCTTAGAGTTGCATAGTAGTTTGTACTTTTCAGAGGGCATTTATATGTATCATTTCATCTGATATGTACGGGTAGATAGAGCAAGAGTTATTCCCTTTGAACAGATTAGGAAAGCACACTGGGAAATGAAGTTACTTTGGTAAAGTTAATGACAGAATAGGAACTAGAACCCAGGACTTCTTTCTGTGTATTTGCTTCTTCTGAGTGGTTTACTGTATGTGATTTTACAAGACAGGACCTGGTCTGCATAGCAGAATGATCTGGATAATTAAGATATTACTCATGTTTATAACATTGTTACTTTTGAAAAATAACCAAGCAAGCTAATTAGTTGAGGGGTTTTTGGTACGCGTGTGTGTGACCTATAGACAAATGCTACATTGAAAATTAATTTCAGACATAATTATCTCAGCAAAGAATAGGGAAAAAATTCTTTTTCTGCTTTTTAAAACGTATGTTATATGGGGCCGGCCCGCAGCATAGTGATTAAGTTTGCGCGCTCCGCTTTGGCGGCCCAGGGTTCGAGGGTTCGGATCCCAGGCACAGATCTACACACTGCTCATCAAGTCATGCTGTGGTGGTGTCCCACATATAAACTAGAGGAAGATTGGCCGTGAACTAACATCTGTGCCAATCTTCCTCACCAAATAAATAAATAAATAAAACGTATATTGTATTAGGGTAGACTAGGTTATGGCAGTAAATAAACCCAAACTTATCATTGCTCATTATAATAGATGTTTATTTCAGGGGGCCCAGGGACTCTTCTTTCCTCTGACATTCTGAGCTGGAACCCAGGCTGAAAGAGCTCTTCCATTTTCCACTCATGACTTTCAGGGCTACTCAGAATCCTCTCCATCTCAGTAAGCCAGAAGGAAGAAGGAGCATGGAAAGTTGTGTGGCTTGCCTAGTGATGGAACACATTACTTTGACTTACGTTCCATTAGCTAGAGGTCAGTTACACAGCCATTTCTAAATGCAAAGGAGGCTAGGAAATATAATTCAGCTGTGTGTCCAAAAGAGGAGGAAGAACAGATTTTGGTGAACTGCTAGCAGACGACCTCATGTACTTACTTCTTTAAAGTTTGCTTCAGGGTGAAAGAGTCGGGATTCTACATTATAGGATTATAACTTGTGATATTCTTCCCAATTCAGGAATTACACTGTCAGAATATTTCCGAGACATGGGCTATCACGTCAGTATGATGGCTGACTCTACCTCTAGATGGGCTGAGGCCCTTAGAGAAATCTCTGGTCGCTTAGCTGAAATGCCTGCAGGTAAGTGTTTGTATCACTTATTGTGTAAGCAAGACCAATGGGATATTGGGGGCTAGCTTAGAACCTCTCTTTTTAAATTTCTTTTCGTTTTTCAGATAGTGGATATCCTGCATATCTTGGTGCCCGTCTGGCCTCTTTCTATGAGCGAGCAGGCAGGGTGAAATGTCTTGGAAATCCTGAAAGAGAAGGAAGTGTCAGCATTGTAGGAGCGTAAGTACCTAACTATTTACTTTTGAAAAGAAAAAAAAAAAATTCATTTATTTTAAAGAGAAAATATTTAGCTTCCTCTGAGGGTAGTGATTCTTAACCAAGATTGTACTCAGTTACCCAAGAAGCTCTTTAAAATGCATGTGTTTAGGTCATCTCTGCATATTCTGGTTCCATAGATTTGACTTAACTGATTTATTGTACTAAAGTCACAATATCTTAAGAATACTTAGAAAATTATAGACATGTTAAGGTAAGATTTTATCATGGAGAAACAAAGTGAAGATTCATGGTCACTACGTAAAGCCACTCTTTGTTCTCAGATTTTCCTTCCTTCCTGCTTCATCTGTTTGATTAGAATAATGAAACTGATCATAGTAGCTCTGTCATTTCTCATACCAGAAGGTGTTCAGTAGTTATCATTCTTATTTGCAACTTAGTTCTGGTTTTTATTTAATTTTTTTTGTGTAAGATTTTCTTTTCAGAGGTCAGTTCTAAAGTTATTTACATTAAAATTGACTTTCCAAAAAAATTTTACTTGCATATACAAGTAATTTTTCTTCAGCATTTCTAATGACTTTTTTTTTCTTTTAAATTTAGGGTTTCTCCACCTGGTGGTGACTTTTCTGATCCAGTTACATCTGCTACTCTTGGTATTGTTCAGGTATATCTTTTCCTAGTGTGGTCGACTTTGGAGCTTTCCCACCCCCACTCTACGCTCACCTCTGCCCCGCTCTGATGTTCTCTCAATCATCGCGAACTATCTAGTTTAGTCACTAAAGAGTAGGCTATGGTAGAATCTGGTTTAGGAACATTCTTATCACTGAGAGCCTTTAATACTTTCTGTTGTTTTTTAGCTCTTTACCTAGGATTTATAATACACTCAGTATCTATAAGTGGAAAATACATCTGGGGTACCAAAGTTTTAGTAATGTTAGAGTAATACTACCTTTAAGTTAGAGTAACCGTAGTTGTAGAAACAGGCCCAAAAATGCATAATGGCAAAAACCCGGTAGAACTTTCTTTCTCCTCATAGTATGGTCCAGGGCAGATAATCCTGTCAGAGGGCAGCTCTTTTCCATTCGCTAGTGATTCAGAGACCGGGGCCCCTTCCATCTCGTGGTTCCACCATCACCTAGCCTGGTAATCGTCTGTGTGTGGCTGGCACAAGGGGAAACTGTGGAGAAGGCACACGCGTTTTTTGAAGCTTGGGCTCAGAGGCAGTCACTGCACTCACTCTGTTAGCCACACCCAGATGAAGGCAAAGCTGCAAATGTAGTCTCTGCCTACGCAGCTGCTTCCCAGGGACGGCATGACTCTCAGTGGATAGCTAGCCAACTTGGCCGTTAAAAGAAGCCTAAATGAAAGATGTATACAAATCAGGGCTATAGTAAGGAAAATAAATGCTGATATATTCATAAGTATATGTATTATTCATATGGGTAAGACAGAGTATTGGCTTATGTCTCTGTCAGTATCAGATAAAAAGATATGGCAGAGGTTAAATTTACAATTCTCAAGGTCTTTAACCTTTGCTAAAATTTTGATTTATAAATTGCAGGGAAAGGGGGAGCAAAGTTAGGAATGCATAAAATATATGTGAATGTTTGGCCTCAAAAAAATGACTGTTAGATCTTATTGGATTGGCCCTTAATGATAGAGAATTGGATTCAGTTAGAACATTTAGAAGTTTTCAATCAAAGTGAAGTATCTATTCTATCCCAATAGGCATTTTCTAGTTTGTTTGTTTATATTACACCATAATCTTCAAAAGAGTCAATTAATTTTTCTTTTTGCTATCAGATTTGACACACTAGTAAGAAAATTCAGATAAATTTTGAATTTGATTTGTAGATACTACTGATCCTGAAACTGAAAGGAATATATTTTCTAATTGCAAGTTTTATTCTATTTGCATTATACTTTGTATATACCAAAAGATATATAATTTGACCAAAAAATTATAGAATTAAACAAATATACTTCAATACTTTTTTATTTTAATTTTTTAAGAAAAATCATTGTAGGGCCGGCTCCGTGGCTTAGCGGTTGAGTGCGCGCGCTCTGATGCTGGCGGCCCGGGTTCGGATCCCGGGCGTGCCCCGAGGCACCACTTCTCCGTCCAACGCGAGACCGAGTCCCACGTACAGCAACTAGAGGGATGTGAACCTATGACATACAACTATCTACTGG